TCTCTTCTTCTTCTTCTTCTTCTTCTTCTTCTTCTTCTTCTTCTTCTTCTTCTTCTTCTTCTTCTTCTTCTTCTTCTTCTTTTTCTTCTTCTTCTTTTTCTTCTTCTTCTTCTTCTTCTTCTTCTTCTTCTTCTTCTTCTTCTTCTTCTTCTTCTTCTTCTTCTTCTTCTTCTTCTTCTTCTTCTTCTTCTTCTTCTTCTTCTTCTTCTTCTTCTTCTTCTTCTTCTTCTTCTTCTTTGTCTTATTTTTCTTCGTCTTCTTCTTCCTCTTCCTATACAGCATGTTTTAGGAATTATTTTGAAACTTATTTTTTGAAAGAACATACATAATGTGAGATACTGTAAAGGAGTTTATTTGCTAAAAACAATTATTCAATTCCCAGCCTGAAGCTTGCCTATATACACGATGTATTGACAAATTCCATTGTCTTTCAAATTTTGTTATTTATTAACGGTATTAGCAGCTACATTTTTATCCAACGTGTCACTTTAAATTTACTATATTATCACTTCTTCTTGCATTTATTTAGCCTTCTCTGTATGCAGTATTTTCTACAAAAGCCGTACTACACAAAGATACTGGTAGAGTTGTGTATGTGTCACTAGTTCTTTAACTGTTCTATGAGTTCCATTTAGAACCTAATTTGTAACAGGGAATTTGTAAACTCATTAGTTATAATACAATAAACATTGCACTATATTAGACAGATCCTGAAAAGAAACGAGCAGAGAATCATCAAGCAGGCACTAAAATAGGAAGTAAAGAGATAGAAAAAGCGATTACGATAAAAAAAAAACTTATAGAAACTTTAAAGAGCGATATCAAATGTGCTAGACTGAAATCTGTATATGATGTCGAAAGGATTGGACACGATAGAACGAAGTGAAGGAATGGACTGCGAGCACTGTGTGACATATATTTGCACAATAGGACAAAGAATTTGTAATTAACTTCTTCAGTCGCCATTTAAAGTTTGAACCAGCCTTGCCACGAGGGGTGAGATCTGGTGAATGGCGCCACTGCGGCTGAGCTTTGTCATTCGATCTGCCAACGAGGTGTATAATATGGTCAAATGGCATGCCACCAACGACCCGACATTCCTCTTTTGAGCTAAACAGACACTGGCGCACATATTGTCCGAGTGCAGAAAAGCCCTAGGTCAGGAACCATTTACATGGCGCCACAATTAGGTCAGATATCTAAAGGTACTTCCAACAAGGTCGCATACGATCCATCAATACTCGACAGTGGGAGGGACTGGCAGCTGGAGGTTAACCTGTCTGGCTTCTAAAAATATCCCGAACTAATCTAAAAAACTGGCCGGAGACCAGACTTTTTTTTTTTGCACTCTGTGGCAGAACGCCAGCCCATCCTGATAGAGCTCAGCGTACCATACGAGTAACGGATTTAAGATAACCATCTGTAAAACCTCGAAAAATGCAGAGAACCGGTGGCCGGTCTTAGGGACAATAAGCGGTACTCCGTAAAACTCTTCGCAGGCGCAAGAAGGCTAATCTCCACCTCCACACACAATGAACTAAAGCGACTAGGCTTGCAAGAGAACGGAGACTAAAACACCTGTGTGAGGCTGCTGAAAGGGCCTCGAGCTGACTGTAGGCGCAATAGAACAACGCAGGGGATGGTCCTCGGTAGACTGGTCTGAGCACATGGAGAAAAAAGAGCTTTCTATCCCTGAAAACCAAAATGTCCGTTAAACGTTTGCCCGTTTTACTCCTCCAACTGCCAAATCTGTTCGATATACAGTGATCAAATGAACCAAGAACCAACTGTACTTCCACATGTCACTCTGGTAGTGCATCTAGACGCACAATTTGCTACCGCAGCGACTTCATATATAACACCAAACGTCAGTTTCCGTTTCAAACCACCATAAATGTCTGAATGCCCGATAAGCGCAGCAGGAGATGTCAGAGACCTAGAGTCATGAACAAGGTCTGCTCACCCTCCGAGATTGTCTAGGAGGATAATGGGCTGAAACAAACTGTCCACGAAGGACCCTTCTATTGATGATTCGAAGCTCTTGCTGTGCATGCTCCTGCTGTAGAGTTCTTCTAATTGAACCAATCATATCACATTTGTCTCATTTTTTGTTCTCAGATTTGTTCGTGTGGTTCTCACATCACGTGCTACGACTTGCAAATAATCCCGCCATTGAACACCGCAGTCAATGTGAGCAAAGTCACAGGTCTCATCTTTGATGTAAGTCTCTTAGGCAAACAGTTCTTTGCTATCAAAAATATTGTAAACGGTTTGAAGATGGTTTATGGTAATTACCGTAAACCTCTATTGACCGTCACTGTCTAGAACAGGGCTTTGACTCAAAACCTAATGAATACACAGATAACAGAAATCTCTTAAAAGTATGTACAGTCACGTGATTTTACTGCGGGCTTGAGATGAAAAAGGAAAAACAAAATTCCTTTAAAAATGAATAATACCAAATAATTGTATTTAATTTTACAAAAGGATTAATATAAGTCACATTATAAGAGTAGTAATGTTAATAAATGTATTCTAACCTACGGTATTCTGTCATTTGTGTGTCTTTGTCCTTCACTGTTGTACAGCTACTCAATTTCGTCAACACTAACAGTCTGTGTCCCTTCAGTCTTGTCAGTAAGTTCAGGCCAGAGTTTATTCCACCCATTTTTGAATTTCAGGTCAGTCCAGACAGTGGGGACACTGAAAATAGCGTCATACAAGGCATGAAGTATAATCCCTATACCCTGCACCTGATAGATGGGTCGATCCGTGAATCTTCTCTGTACTGCTACCTAAATTATCACCCTACTATCCTGAGATTAAACATTATCAAATCTGATGAAATACCAAAAAGACAGATAGCCGGTTCAACCCCTAAAACAGTAAAGGTTAGGGCGACCGTAATGGCTTCATCAGCCATCTGTAACCTGCAGTTCTGTGTGGCTAAGAATGTGTGATTGATTGATTTGAAATAACACTGGTTAGACGACACTTTAAGGCTAACGTGGAACTGTTTGGAGGAAGACACGACAGGCTGAGGGAACAGGGCGTCAGACAATCACACACGCTGATGTACTCACTATACGCTGGAATCTGGGACTTTGAGAAAAGATACTGTTTTTAAAAATGTATCGTTTGATGTTGGTTGCTAAGGTTATACATTTTTTTTTTTAAATCTCATCTTCATCATCATCATCATCAGTTTCCACATTTGCCATTAAAAGTCTTTGGGAGGGACAGTATAAGATTCATTGCCTATGGGTATCAATGGCTATTGTCATTCCACATCGATGTAGAGGCTCTTTAATGTCATTGAATCACATTCTGTTATGGCAACATATTGCGTTCAAGTCCCTGTGCTCAAGTGTAGCCTCTGTGTTTGTAATTGTTGTGGGTGCATTCTAACGAGATCAACAAACTATTTGATCTTCTGTTTTTCACTGAATTTGGCGTGGTGTTGTCCCTACAGTTTTTGACAGTGTCATTTACTATTTTTTGTCTTGGATGATTCAGTTGACGGCTTTCTTCAAGTAGCTCATTTCATAGGTGTCAATTTTACGAATAGCGCCGGATTTAAGCGACTCCTTGAATATGAACGAACGAACGAACGAACGAACGAACAAACTTTATTTTCAAAGGGTTACAAATTGAGCACGCAGGCCCGTCTGATATTCGGCCCTTCTAAGTACACATTTTTCAGAGTACCAATACCTGTTATCAATAATGCATATTATGGATTTAATAAAGAAAAATAAATTATAGTATAATGCATACACACATCATGTGTACACAATCGTACACACTCACACACACGTATACATACTCCTATGTTCTCATACATGCGAACTCATATACAGACATACATGATACATGATACTTATGAAACTGCATGAGGCAGGAGACCTGGCGAGAGGTAGAGTTTCTTTCAAAAGGAGCAATTTTTAACAAAGTACCTGCCTTAAGATGAGTTATTTATGATGACCCAAGCAACAACGCACTCTAATTTTGCTCTTATACAGATATGTTAACATAAATTGTCTGACTAAACAGTGGCATTATCTCATCTGTTTTATTTCGACATCGCGTATGTTTAATTAATTACTTTAATTAATGTCACTGTGAATTCTGTTGTAATGTCTGTGTTTAACTATTTAATTGTTAGTGTGTAAAGTAAATTAACGGACCCTTTTCCACGCCTTTAGGCGTATAGGGCATAAAGAGCTAGCCTATATTTTATAGACCAATCGGCACAAGATGGGTGAAGTGGTCAGCATCACGCCGGGGGCTTTTACTTCCAAGCCAAGGTCATTTTTGATTACAGTCAGGGAGCGAACCCTCGACCTTCGATCCGTGGCGAGCGTCTAGCCGCTCCGCCACGGCGACTCCCAGTATATATATATATATATATATATATATATATATATATATATATATATATATATATATATATATATATATATATACATTAGTTTTTTTTTTTTTTTGCCTATCATGTATTTTTACAGGTTGTTGCAAAATAAACCCATAGTTTGTTGCTGTTGTTGTTGTTTATGATGCTATTTCTGTTCGTGATTTTACAGGACAATTTTACCTCCAGTAGTTAGCCATTGTTTAATGAACGGTCGGCTGCCGATACCACTATTGAAACCAAGGCATTTGAGGTTTGCTATCAAAAATTTCTTTTACTGCATTAGTTACTTTATTTTCAGATTGGTGACATAGCAAGTATCTACAACAACAGCCTGCCTCCTAACCTTACTGAAATACAACTGATAGGACACCCACTCAAGAATATTTATGACGACGCATTCGATTCATCGGCGGCAACACTACAAATTATATACATCAAAGGAGCCAGATTCACCAGCCTACCAAAAGCACTCCAGAAACTGACCAACCTGACCCAGTTATCGATTATCGAAACACCGATACAATACTGGGATACTGCTACACTGAAATCGATTGCTGCTTCAGTTCAGAGTCTGGATCTCACTAACATGAGCTTATCCTCATGGCCAGACTGGATTTCTGATTTCCATTTGTTAAACACATTAGATCTAAGCTTGAACCCTCTAAACTCTATTCCTGACAATGCCTTTAACAATCTTAAATACTCGTTACTGCATCTATATCTTTCAGGTACCGGTTTGACCCACATACCAAAAGCATTGTCCATACTCACCAATTTAACCAGTCTGGATTTGAATAACAACAATTTTACCGACACGTCTGAATTTACAGGTATAACCGCGTCGACACTTTCTGAGAGTCTGTCCTACATAGATTTAAATTCATGTGGGTTGACCAGAATGCCAAACTTCTCCAACTTTATGCGTTTAGATACAATTATATTATCTAACAATAGAATATCGGATGTACCTACTGGCTCACTACCTTCTTCTCTAACATCAGTGTACTGTTTAAACAACAGTCTTTCATCTGTACCAGAAGATGTTGCTAGCATGTCCAGGCTTTCTGTTCTAGATCTTTCTTACAACCGAATCACAGGGATAGAAACAGACTCCCTACCATCAAGTCTGACATATTTAAGACTGGACATAAACAATGTAACTATCATTACAAATACAACTTTTAGAAATCTCAATCTCTTAAGCACTCTTGACCTCAGTTTTAATCCAATCTCAGAAATCTCACCTGCAGCATTCTCGGATCTGGTATCACTGGAATCCCTTAACTTATTAGGTTCACACCTGACAGAAATCCCTCTAGCATTGACAAGACTAAATCCGGACATACATCTGTACTTTACAACCACTGAACCACTGTCATGTCCCTGCCCAGCACCCCAGGTATTAATTAAGTGGGCTTCTGCAGTAGGAACTCCTACCGTCTTTCAGTACTTCTGCGGTAACGGACAAAAAGCCAAGGACTATCTAAGTGGCCAGTGTGGGCAATCATTAGCCGCTGCTTAACACTAGCATCTTATGTGGGCAGTCTTGTTGTTGGTCAAAACTGAGAATCTGTTATACATAAATTTACGAAACTTTTTCTATGTCTTCTGATTTATTCATTGTTTTAACTTCGAGCCGACAATAGTAAGAACACCAATGTAAAATTTAACCTTGCAAAGCAAAAGCAGACAATCGATTCTACAAACAGGAAAATGTCTATAAACAGCGGGATGATTATGAACTATACAGATGTAGAGTTAACGTGCCAGCTGTCGACAAAGCAGAATAAATGTCAGCTAATGTCATCCGGGTGTACTGATTCTGTGTTTGAATAAGTAATGATTGTATTTATAATACATCAATATTTTTCTGTATGCGTGCGCGTGATGTGTGCTAATAAATATCGTATAAACTGCTGAAATGGCCAAATTGAAGCAACATGTGTTAGGGTACATTGCATATCCAGAGTGCTACAAGTGGTATCGGTATATCTAAAACCCTGCAAACGAAGTAAAAAAAGTTTGCAGGACCTCATGTAAATTCGATTTTCATTTACAACTCCTACTAGTTTAGGCGACGGGAAGTTTTAAATGGTCAATCGTGTCCTATGACTGTGAAGTGTCATGTGCTGTAAAACAGCCTAGTAACAGTCGCAGTAGGAATAATCAAGAGACTTTCCCCCAAATTGTTCTAAAGCGTCATGTGTTAGAGAACTCTCCGTCCAGTCTTCAAGCCAAGAAAGGAAACAATGATCTTCAAATTGTTCTCTCCGATCTTGTACTTAGTCTAGGTAAAACTACCACTTTCCTTAGTCAAGAAAAGGGCCCTTTTTTACGTCCTAGTCCTAGTCCTAGTCCTTTTGAGAAACAAATGAAAAGGTCGACCACTTTGAGACTGCTGCTAGCTAGCCGAGGCTGCTAACAGTCTCCGCCTATTTTTGTGGTCTGGGTTATTTGCGTCACTTTCGTGACTAAATTCGAGTGTTTGCGCCACTTCTGGGCTTGACGCTTCCAACCGATTCAGACCGCCCATCCTCCCCCCTGTTGTTACTTGTGTATGTCTTTCCTTTTCTTACTTGGTGTTTGAGTATTTTACTTTGCCAAAAAGTACTGAAAACAGTTTTTGATTTTGAATAGTCTTTTTTTCTACGTCGCAGGACTCCCATTTGTACATCATTTAAAAAAAAAAAGATATCAAACGAAAAAAAAAAAAAAAAATCAGGTTGCCAGTATTATAAACACAAACGATAGGTGAACGTTGCGGCCTGAAAACCGTTCACGGCACTTTACATGAATGCACATTGCCACACATACAAACATGAATACATAAAATCACTTGACTGAAGTATCTCCTGGAGAAATAACATATCTAACTGTCGAACTGAATCCCTAACACGTGTGTGGTCATATCTTAATACCAAGCCAGCAATATGATTAGGCATGGAATATCTCATATAGAAACATGGATGAAGACAGCATACGGAGAGCAGGGCGATTTCCAGAGCAAGATCAAGACAACAACTATTCCGATTCCGATTCCTTTTGAGAAAAAAATTAAAAGTTGACCACTTTCAGACAAGGTTGGATCGACCTGGGAGTCTGGGTAATTTTTTTTTAAAGTCCGATTTTATGCGTGTGCGCGTGTGTCTATGTGCGTTTATGTGTGCGTGTGTCTACGTTTGTGTGTGTGTCTGTGTGTGTGTGTTTGTACGTCTGTGGGTGTATGTGTGTTAGCGTGTGTTTGGGTCTGCCTGTGCATCTACCTGTGTGTGTCCACCTTTGTGTGTGTGTCTGCATGTGTGACTGTGTGATTTGTCTATGTGTGTGTGTATCTGCGTGTTTCTGTGTGTTCGCCTGTGTGTGTGTGTCTACATGTGTAATCTGTACGCGTATGTGTCTAAGGGGGTGTTTGTGTGTTTATATGTGTGCACGTGTGTGTCTGTATGCGTGTAAGTATGTATGTATTTGTGTATGCATTAGGTATGTATGTTCGATCAGGAAACCACCAGCGCCAGCACAAGACGACTATTTTATTATGGACAGATCAGAACAAATCATTATCCTCCGCCTCAGAGCAGGGCACAACCGATTACCTAACCACATGTACACAAAATTCAAGATAGGCGTATCAGCCATGTGCACCTGTGCAAATGTGCCCCAGACAGCAGAGCATGTACTCCAGGGCTGCACCAAATTTGACACATTGAGGCAAACCTTTTGGCCAGAAAGAACAACAGTGGAACGTACACTCTATAGACCACTGAATGAACTAACAACGACAGTGAAATTTATACAAGAGACAAAACTGCTGATATAGACAACTTATTTCAGGCAAAAGAAAGAAGAAGAAGGTATGTGTGTATGTATGCATGCATGCACGTGTGTATATGTGTGCAATGTGTGTGTACATGGGTGAGGAATTTGTGTGTATGTGTGTGTATATTTTGTATGCATGTGTGTGTGTGTATGCGTCTGTTGTATGTATATATTTGGGAATGTATGTATATGTGTGTAAGTGAGTGGGTGTGCTGTGCATATAAGTGTGTGTGTGTGCGCGCGCGTTAGCGTGTGTATGCATTGTACCACCTATGTTTTTTGTGTGTTTGTCTTGATATCTATAATATGCCTTTTTTTTAAACATAACATGATTAATGATTTTTTTTTTAAAATCCTGTGTGATAGATAGATGGGTATTTGGAAGGGCCGAATGTAAGAGAGATCTATGTGCCCAATGTTTTGTCCTTTCAAAATAAAGTTACTTCGTTCGTTCGTTTTCTTTCTCTCTCTCTCTCTCTTTCCTTTCCCTCCCCCCCCCCTCTCTCTTTCTCTGTCGCGTATATCTTCAAACAAATCTTCCTCCATCTGTTTATCTCCCTTCGGCCTCTTGTACATTCAAACATAAATAGAATCGCTCTCTTCCACTCTCGCTATTGTCTAAAATCAATATGATCTCTTCCCATCTCTCTCTCTCTCTCTCTCTCTCTCTCTCTCTCTCTCTCTCACACACACACACACACACACACACATTTGTTTAGCATCTTCCAAAACGTCAAAACACTCTCTTCTTCTTCTTCTTCTTCTCTTCCACCTTTTACCTCATCAAAGTGTCGAGGGGAGATGTAATGTTCGTTGATGAGTTCTGTCAAGAGCACTATTGAGACTGATGTTCAAGGCTGTCCCTAATGCCATCACTCCATATTTTCCGAGGTCTTCCACTCGCTCTGTACCCGTTGTAACGTTTTAGTGTGGCTCGCTGTGGCAGATAGTACCAGGGCATTCTTGTAAGGTGTCCAAACCACTTCATTTGTTGTTCTTTGATGACCTGTAAGACTGGCTTTATTCCTAGCATTCGTCTGATTTCGTGATTTCGTTTTCTGTCTTTCCTTAAAACTCCTGCAGCTCTTCTAAGGCATTTCATCTGTGTTGTCACAATTTTGCCTTCATTGGAGGATGTGAGTGTCCAAGTTTGGCATTGATAGCATGGTGTTTGCCAAAAAATAGTTCGGATAAGATTCACTTTAGTACTCCGAGGTATCTGCTTGTGTGTCAACACGGGAGATAGTTGCCCAATTACTTGATTAGCTTTGGCTCATCTCGAGCTAATGTCTCGTTCCAGCTTTTCGTTGGATGTGAAAATTGCTCCCAAATACTTAAATTCCTCTGTTTGTCTTAAAGTGTTGTTTTTTTAATTTTATTTCCAAATTGTCCTTGTCTTCCAATCACCGTTGTCTCTATCTTCGTAGTATTTTTAGTTATTATATTCCTCTCCTTTGTTATTGATTTGATTTAAGTGGTTCTGTAAGGATTCCGTACTTTCTGCTATGACTACCTGGTCGTCGGCTAATATTAATTCTGTATACATATGGTATCCATGAATGTTATAAAAAGAAGGGGCGATAGTACACAGCCCTGGCGTACACCAGAGTTCATTATAAACGTTCTTGACAATCCTGCCTTCGACCTTGTGCAGCATTTACTACGTGTGTACAGGCTTTTGCAGATATTAATGACATGATTGCTGATTCCTTTTTTTCCCATACATTCCCACAAGATATTCCTGTCGACTCTATCAAAGGCTTTTTCTTGGTCTGTGAATGTCAACAAACAGGTCTTATTGTGTTCTATTGCCCTCTCTGATAGTTGTCTCAATGTATAAATGGCATCTATGCAACTTCTGTTTCGTCAAAATCCCCTTCTGTGCTTCTGAAAGTTGATACGGTATCAATGGTCTTAGCCTTTTTTTCGATGATCTTAGAATACATTTTCCCACTGTGACTGAGAAGGGATATTCCTCTGTAATTAGTACAGTCCCTCTTACTTCCTTTATTTTTCCATAGAAGGACGATGACAGCAGTTTGCCAATCTGATGGTGTTTCTTGATTTTCCCATGCCACTTTAAATATTATCTTCAACCATATAGCTCCCGCTTTTCTTGCTGCCCTGATTGCCTCAGCTGGTAGATCATCAGTACCTGTCGCCTTTAGCTACGGGTGGTTCGAATGACATATTTTACTCCATCCAATAACATACCTGGTTCTAGTTCCGCTGCCGTTAGTTCCGAGTTATTTTTATGTTCTTCCCTGCTTTTATCTTTTTTTTTTTTTTTTTTGCAGCTAAGTAATGATTCAAAGTAATTACTCCACCTTGCTAAAATTTTGTTAGTTTCTATTAAAGGTTGGCCAACTTCATCATTTATAATTTCTGTTGGGTTGTATTCTTCATCCGTGTCTCTCATACTGTTGATTGTTTTGTAGTAGCTTTTCACTGCTGTTTTTTTTTCTTCAGCCAGCTTGCTTCCAAACATTTCTCATGAATCTCTTTTTGCTTGTCTGATAGTTCTATTCACTTCTCTTCTAATTATCCTGTATGTTAATTATTCCTCTTCTGTTCTGCTCCTCAGCCAAATGCCATAGGCTTTCTTTTTATCGCTCAAAATTCTTCTTAATTCTTCAGACCACCACGTGAAAGTTTACACCACATGTTACCTTTTCTTTCAGTTCCACATATTTCTTGTGCTATTTT